TAAGTAATTTATGGGCTAATTTTCATTTTTGGGTGAACTAACCCTTTAAAAGTTTCTTCACATGCCATAGAAGAACCATGTTTGGTTCAACAAAGAACCATTCAGTCAAAGGTTCTTTAAAGAACCATCTCTTTCTTACCTTTTTATAATCTGAAGAACCTTCTTTCACCACAAATAACCTTTTGTGAAACAGAAAGGTTCTTCAGATGTTAAAGGTTCTTTATGGAACCATTTAGACAAAAAGGTTCTTCTATGGCATAGTGAAGCACCTTTATTTTTAAGAGTGTACATGCTTGAATGTACACAGTATTTTAAATATAATTAAAAAAAATAATAAAATACATGTAGGTCAAAAAGTCTGGAAACCCAGAATTCAAAATCCAATTCAAAAATAAAATCTAAAATAAGCTGAATATATAATACACTAATAATAATAATAATAAAATGCTCAAATATTATGGTATTAATAAACAAACATTTAAATAATGAATATTGAAATATTTTAATAAAGAACCCTAATGACAAACAACTTGGCCTTAACCTTTAAGCACAGAGGGTAATCTGCAGTACACACTCACAATTATTATTCTGATTATAATTATTAAACAAACTGTAAATAGTATATAAATAATATAATATATGATCAAATATTTAACAAAACTGAAATTATTGAAATTTTTTAATTTAAACAAAAATTACTTTCTCAAATTGTTACACTGATAATATAAAAATAATGATGAAAAAGCAAAATAGCAGCATCAGTATACAAATATGAAAATCAATAGCATATATATGCAGGAAAAATTGAAAATATATTTAACTTTACATTTAATATCTGTAACAAATATGCAATTTAAAAAATATAAAAACGTAAAACATAAATGTGAGTAAACAAAACAAGAATAAAAAAAATGTTTTGAAGATGAACTGTGGCAAAGTCTTGCAGCAATGACTTTCCATAACTAGAATTTCTCTCCCTCTTTCTCTGTACAAGCAGAAGTCAAACAGAGAATGTCAAGGTGCTTTAATGTCAGTGGCTGCTACTTTAGTTAGAACTGAAGTTCAGAACAGGGTGAAACTTTGGGCCACAAGCTGCAGACTACTCTTGAACAGCTGAAAACACACACACACACACACACACACACACACACACACACACACACACACACAACAAACTATACATATTTTTACAGTCACGGTACAGTTTAGTAGACACTCTTATCCAGAGTAATTTCAAAAGCGCTTTAGCTTCACATGTGACACTGCATGGTCGACAGATGGTAAGCACACAATTCATTAAGCTACCTGATAGAGAACATTACCCAAGCAAAAGTAATTACCTTATTACCTCATTACCTATACAACTATAAAGCCCTAAGCAATGACAGCATTTCCAAGCTAGATGAACAAAGTCAAAACAGGACTTTTAATACATTCTATAAAATCATATACTATCAAGTCTAGTACAGCTGGAAATTCATGGTTATTTTCCTAATGTACCTGGGTTATTAAATCCTAATGCATTCTCTATTCATTTGAGGACAAAAGGTTTTCATGACTCAGCGGTAAGAACTTGAGAGGACATGTGGGAAACGCCAACGTGCATCGCAACACATGCACATATGACTGCCATAAGGAGATGAATGGGAATCTTTGGGAAAGAGCCAATCAGATGGCAGACGACAGCTGCTGAAATGAAGTGTAATACCATCTCACTGTAAATCTCTAATACATTTTGAAGATTTGCCAATAAAATCGCCAGTTACTGATGGAGTCGTGGCACAAAAGTACTTGTTCTCAACAAACAAGCTGTTAGTACACAGGGAACAATGTTAAATTTGTCCTGGGTCATATCCTATTCCCACTTTTTTTTTTCTATGTAAATCAAGCCTAAAAATAAAATAAAATAAAAAATAACCAATATGACATATTACGCTTCCCTATAATATTTGCACAGTCTTGCCAAACCACACAAACAGTGGTACATCACTATGGCAATGACAGTCAAACAGTATCTCTGTTTTGGGAAATCTGATGTAATCTTTTCTGTGAGTCAGAACAGTCAGCGTGACCTCAGCGACTGCATCAAAACTAAAATTGACTATACAACTGTATTAACCCTCAAACATGCACATGTATACAAACTTAACCTTGAATGAGCGCGTGTTGACTTGACTCAGACCAGACCCGTTTCTGAGGACAATAGTGGACAAATTCAAAGACTACTGTAATTCAACAAGTAAACAAACTAAAACGGACATGAAAATGTGGTCAGGGGCAGAATAACTGGTGTCGGACATGTGAAGTGTTCCATTGCAACACTAATGATGGTGTTACTAGCAAAGTACAGACTGCTTGACAGGTTCATTAAAAGGGTTAGTTCACCCAGAAATGAAAATTAGCCTATAAATGACTCACCCTCAAGTCATCCTAGGATGTCAAAGTTCATAAATGAAATCCAGCTCAGAGATCAAATACAAGCCTGCTCTTCAGACAAGTGTAACTGTTGTATCTCACACAGTTACTAAATAAAGCAAGCAAACAAAGGTTACAATGTTCAGTGTTTAAGAACTGCTGTAAAAAAATGTTGAAAATGCAATGTAACTAACTCTGGACCTCCACTAGATGGCAGCGTGCCATGATATTGTGCCCAGCCAGTTTAAAGAAAAGTAGGTTAGATGGCCTAAAGCTTTTCATATGCTAATGAGCTGCCTGTAGCATTACAACACTCTAACCGACATATCTTATCACATGTGAAAGCAAAACACTGAAAACACAATGCCATGAGGTGGGTGAGGCGATTATCTCACTCTTTCACCGTCTGCCGCGTCCTTCAGTGGAGGAAGGGCTGGTCACAAAATCCAAACCACACCAAACTTCCACATTTCCTCAAAGCAACGTATTCAAGTTGGATGAAGACATTATTTTTTTACCTTACCTTTTACCTATAAACATGTATATAACTGAAATAAAATAAACAATACACACAAACTTATTTCGTTTTATTTTGCCTTTCTGTAGTTCAAACATTAAAGCACGGTCATTAACACCAAGACCATTAAATGCAATGTAAATCTAACTATGATTACAGTGGGAAAACAATGGAAGAATCTAAAATCTTGGTAAATTGTACATTTTAGAAGGCAGTGCGTAGGAAGCCTCTCACTGCTTCATTAAAGACTATGTGTCAGGAGCAGGAGGTAATGGCAGCCTAGTATTTCCACTATGTAAATTCAGTCAACTGAGAGTCTGTGATAACAGCAGAGGAAATCTCAGGAAGGCCTTGAATGGATTATATCATAGTTAGTGATTACAGCTCAAGTATTCACCTTAGATAAAACTAACCCACCACCAGACTCATTTAATGCACGAAAGAAACTTAAATGTCAGGGATCTCAGTCAACATAAGGGACGCATATTAAAATTCATTTCGATAAGCTGATATTTATTTTCATATCATAGCCAAATACTGGTAAATGTCTAAATAATTAACGAATAATTGTTTAAACAATTGTCTACATTAAATATAATGATAATATTATTTATAAATGTAAATAAATAATAAAACTGAAACATATTGACCGATAACCCATATGGTACTGATATATTTTGCAACATCACAATATAATGATCTTCCAGCAGACAGTTACACTAAAATGTTTCGTTCTTCTAGAATAAAGGTGCTTTCACGGTACATGACTGAACTGTGGGATCAACTAAAACAAATAAGACTGGTACAACTCATAACAAAACAGAAAACCTGTTTTGATTTTTTTTTTTAAAAGTAACCGATTCGAGGTCTCTTTCCCACCCGTTCTTTCTCTCTGGGGACATTGTAATCTAAGGAAGTGACCAAAAACAGTCATATTTAGTCTAAATTCTCATCACACATATATAATAAGGTTACACAACTACAAACCCTTAAAGACGAGCAGTGAAAATTCATGAGAGCTTCTTTGTCAAGGGCTTCAGGAGGCGACAGGAAAAACTACGACAGCATAAAACTGGTGCCAAAAATTCAGTTACACTTGCCAATTACGTTCATTTGGTGTAAGCCATTTATCTCCAGTGA